ATTTGAAATTTTCGTGACAGTTTCCTGACTTTTCTTCGCGAGCGAGTCAACTAGCACACATATTTCTGTTTCTCAACCACGCCACATTCTCACTTTCCTGGTGGCTCATCGCGAAGTCTGCCTTTAAGTGCCTGGTACAGGCCACATCGCATTCTTGATGTTACTGAAGTCTTAAATGGAATTCGAATCGAATGCACGGCGCGTCCTAAAGTCTGTATGAGTCTCTAACTTAGTTCTCCCTCTACTGATAGTTCTCATTTGTAAAATCTTGTTGAGAGTTCTAAGCTCACATTTAGCTACTTTTCTGCCTTTTTTCGCCCTCCTCCTAGGCCCTCTCGTTCTCCTTCTTCTTCTAGTCTTTTTTCGTATTCTGCAGCCTTTCTTTACAACTCATATTCGGGATCAAAATCCCAAGGAGAGACAGCTGCGTGCAAAAGCGCATTCCGTCAGCACTGCAAGTGTTCGCTACATTTTTCTAGAGCTTTTTCAGATGCAAAAGGATACAAGTGCGAATGCGGACGGACGTTCTTTTCCTACACTGAAATGCTTTACCACAAGCACCCTGAGGATATCGAAAAAGAGAAAGCCGACAAGGTGAGGGCAGAAATGTTATGAGGTCAAATGACGAGCTATAGCGACCGTTCAGGAACTTTACGGCTGCCCCGTGCTTGTTCATCCGTCGACAAGTAGAGTTGCTCTATTGCAAGACATGCCAACGCCAGCATATATGGAAGAAGGTTTCGAGCCAAAGCATCCGCTGAAGGTATGTTCTTCTTTCAGTTTTTCCTAGGAATCTGAATAAGGGTAAGCGGGGCTTCAAGTTGTATTGGAGGGGGTATGAAATGGGCACAGATCGTCGTTGTGCGAATCCCATCGGGGAGGGGAGTCGTATTTAGACGTTTAGTGAAAGAGGGTATTGATTGGGGGTATCTCACGTTCTAGACAGTCTAGCGCACTATTGAATGGCGCAGCAGAACTACTTCTGATGGTTGATCGGAGCTGTATACACCCCCTTCCCCAATCACTCGACAGCGAAATGTCAAGAACGTCTAGGTAAGAGGCGTCGAAAGTCCTGGAGGAAGGTTGTGAAAACGCTGTCGTTAAACTCTCCAACGGTAAAGTTTACTGACATGCCATTTCGTCACACGATTATCTGACCCTGTCCATGGAACGAAAACAATGACTGTGAATGGCACGGTAAAATAATTACTACAAGTAAATTGTTAAGTGCCGAGGGATCCCCTTCGAAGTGGGTGGTTATAGGGTGCGGAAAGAGGGGTCGGGATGAATTGCTTTGAAGAAAAATTGTTTCGATTTTGATTTCTTGTATGTCCCATAGGATGGGGAAAGTCTGGAGCAGGGGAGTGGTGCAGAGGCTCCTACTTAGAGTAGGAATATTCATAAGTCGTATTTTGCAATAAGTTCCACTCTATTTACTGGGATACGTGCACATGCCACTACGAGTGGAAGGATTTGGAATTGGGGAGCACCCAAATAAGTAGGATCAATGACGAGTCTTTTTTTTACTTCGAAAATTGTCCAAAAAGCATAATCATAACTTACCGTTATGGTTATTTTCGCGATGTTCGCCTCAAGCGTACAGTTGGAGTATATAGCACCTCAGATTTATCAGACGTCGCATTTAGCGTTTACACATGTACTCACAGAGGTAGCACTTAATCCTTATAACAGTCCTTCTTTGGCGTGTTACCTGAGTGGCGGGGCGGAGTGGTGGGGGAGGGCAGTTAAAGGATTCCTTGTGCAAAAATGGGATCATCGCAGCAAAGGCGAAGACTTTTGCTCAAGCCTGAATTGTAAGGCAGTGTTCAGACTTCGCGTTGACGCGCGACGACTCACTGTACTGCGGTACAATTGTAACAGCGCTTCAATCCTAAACACGTGAATGCAGCAGCAGACGGGAATCACGCGTTACAGCGCGTTACGGCGCTTCGACGCTCGCCACCGTGAAGTCTGAATGCTGACTGAAGGAGAACTTGAGTAAATAAACCAATGCTAAATAAAGTAATCCCATTCTTGTCTAAGTGATGTCAGGTTTGCACAAAACGCTCTTAAAATGCTCTCCCGTATTTTTTATTATGAAATTTTTAATCTAAATTTTTCTTTCTCTTCAGAAGGAGACAATTTTCTCTTTGTAGGTGAAAGGCAGTTTCAATCCAAGATCCTCTCGGTACTTGATGGGACGCACTGGCGTCGGCTACACCGATCGAAGTTCTTATTTCCTTTTCCCCAGGACCAGCGGATACGTGCCTCCATTGTATTGATTGCATATGATTTCTGCTGTAATAAATAAAGAGGATGCCTTATAAGCGCAGACTAGGCGATTGCTGTTTGTAGGCAACGGGGGCTCAAAAACAAAGGCTGTATCGGTTAGTTCGTTTTCTGGAGAAGGGATCGAAATACAGTCGCTCTCCGTAGGGCGCTCCAGTTGACTAGCTAAGCAGAAGATGGTCAAGATCAAATGCAGTCAAGAGGTGAGGTACTTCGAAAAGTGCGGGAATAGATGACTCAGCGACACTACGACCGCATTCATAGTACACGGCTCGATCGATTCAGTCGCGCGACTGCGACTGACCGCGCTAGACCGCCAATCGTTGGACCGGTGTAACTGCTGAACCAGTCACATCCAGAATGAGAATTTCTCCGTCTCTTGTGGCGGCCCAGTGATAAGCGATGTAGAGCGATCGGTAAGAGTCGCGGCGTTTTCCGCAGCTCGGTGCGGGGCTCGCGTGACTGAACCGCCGGTGCCACGGAGTGTGAAAGGGCTACCACGGTCGATTCTGGCCTATGGGCCTGACATTGAGCCCTGCAGCGTGCTTTCTGTGAAAGTTCAAACTCTGACTGTGGTACATCCTCTGCGCGGAGGTTTTAGCACTAGTTTTTCGCGAACAGTGCCTTTGAGAGTGTTTTAAATAAAAGTTCTTGACCTTGACGAACGCGGAACCGTCGCAGTGACGGCGTCGAAGAAATACAGAATAAAATTGGGGAGTAGTGATGGTCAACATTCAATAAAAAATTTCAGCAGTCTGAAGTAAATCAACGCAATCTGTTTCAAAGGTCTGTCCTAAATTGAGGGAAGCAGCGGAGGTTATCAGTGCGAGTATCGCTGATTGAATAATCGTCCATCACATTCACTTTTACGAGTAATTTCCAGAAAAGATTGCGATATTGGTAGGAAATGATGTGGCAGCTTTAGAATCGAGCATTAGTTTCATTGAAAACACTGTTTGGACCTCAGACTGGGCGGGGGCAGGGGACGGCGTCATTGGCCACCCTCCCCTCTTCTCGCCTTACTCGCCTTTTGAGAAAGAGCGTCTCGACGATGCCGGAGGAGGAGGAGTAAAAAACGCGCGAGAGGAGAGTTTAAATTTGAATCGATTGACTCCAGTCACCTTCTCAGGACACGTCCTGCCGTTGATTAAAACTTTTGCAAAACACGACACCCAACAAAATTTCCTCCTCTGGTTCAACCCCCCCCCCCTCCCCTTCTTTATCCTTGCCGATTCCCCATCCGAGCTACCATCTCCGCAGATTTTCAAAACTTCCTATTTTCCGGTTTTCCCCCTGGAACTTTTCCTTTTTCTCCAAAAAACCGCAGTTCTACGTTATACGGCATATGGCGCACTGGAACAGGGAAAACTGTGCAGCATTAACAACCAAGAACATTTCTTCTGAGGCAACTAAGACCCCAACTTCTCTGTCGAGCAACCAAATACGATCTTTCTCGTTGGGGATCCCATAGGTACGAGTGCCCTGCTCTTACCCTTCGATTCAGCGGCGATTGGAATCGATCTACTTCCATCGACCTCTTTGCCGCTCACTTCCCCATTCGCCCCTTTTTCTTGTTTCCTAATTTGCAAGATCGACACCCACGCTTTCTGATGAGGTGGACTCTCATGTTTCCTATTCTCCTTGAGAGCGTAGGTATACCGTTTTCGGCTCCTACGCAATACCCAGGATTTCGATCATTGTTACATGTTTCTGACGACTTCGATAACTTTTTGACCCGGCCGTGTCTCACATTCTCATATGAGAGTTCAAGGACGCGTCCGGGGTGCTCTCAGCGTCGAAATACGGTCAGGACCCTTGCAAACCATGGGGTGTGTGACGGGGCGTGGATTGGAGGCCTGTCAAAGATGCTTTCTCCACCAATGATGCCATCCTGAGGCAGCAAACAATCGATGGGAGAGGCTGTTCTGGCTGCTACCCAACTCACACTCCTTAACACGCCCTGTCGTTTGCAAGGATCATGACTAGCGCCCAAAGTGGACGAGCCCTCCTCCTCTAGTCTCCTCCATTACCAAGAGCGCTCTCGGCAACTGCCTTGCCAAATATGGACTTTTTATAATGGGGGGATGCATGTTCAGCTTAATCTCCTCTTTCTCTCCCTCCTCTTCTTCTCTCTTTCACTTTCTTTGGATGTCAAACCTTCGTGACGCCTGTATTTGTCCCAAGACGAGTGAATTTATCATTCATAAATTGCTGTTAATGTTCTTGTGGCGCATGTCTTCTAGGACTCGACATTGGTGACGCGGTGGGGATGGGCGGAACAAGTCAGACCCCTCGCCTGCCTTGCTGGTATCAATCAAGGCGTTGCGAAGTTTCGTCGTGTTCCTATTAGGGCACACTTGAGCAGCTGTTTTCGCTATGACATCTCTTCTAATTCGGGCTGGGCCAAGTCTTCTCCTGTTTCGCTAGCAATACCCAAACATTATCCTCCTGTCTTTTAATCAGTTCGCGTTTCATATACACATTGCTCACCTTCTACGCCTCATTCCTTCCCTCATTACTAAGCCCTCCATCCTGATCTGGAAATAAATAAAATGGCTGCCATTCTTCGAGTGACTAAAGAACCCACTGAGGCCTATAGAGAAGACGGAGTCAATGCGGATTTCATTGGCTGTTGAACTGAAAAGTCGAGATCCAGCCGCGCTTTCGGGGAATAAAGGCATGTTTCACGACCATCCATAAGGATCGATGCTGTTCTAGAGAACAGATAGCGCAAAAGGGATAAATGGCTTTGAACCAGTTTCGGCGCAGATTCCAAAAACTGTAAGGTAGGGACGTTACTCAAGTGGCGCTACCTGACCACAAGTGGCTGCGCTTCTCTGTGGTGTCTGTCGTCTCGCCTTTCTCTGTGTGCTCTTTCGCTTTTTTCTCTCTCGACGCCGCTCCTCACCGGAAACCGCAAACGACCCTTTCCCTCTTCAATGGAAAATAATGACAACTGCAACAAAAAAAACCTCGTTTAGGGTGTTTCCGATGATTTATTCCGCTTTTTTCAGTGGTAATCTAGCCAGCAGGGCATTTTTTGACCCCCCCCCTCGTACGACTCATAGTCGTGAGATAAATTCCAGACGGATGGTACAGCTACAGCTAGAGGACCTGCCAAAACCTGTTTCTGGTCTCTGTCACGCTTGCAAGACCATTGAGCCCTTCCAAGGAGGGGTGGTATTGAACTTGGCATCATTTGCAGGAGAATCACTGGTCCATAGATATGGTCCATTCGAACCTCTCAGGCTGTTGACTGCGAACAATTCGTTGGTCACAGTTTCTCCTGCGATTCCGAAAAAATGTTCACCTGGGCTCTGAAAAATGGTGAATTTCCTTGTCAGAAATGGGACAGAGCATAGCGAAAGTTGGGAGAGTGCACAGACGAGGTACATAGGCGAACATCACAGGGTGGTGCATTTGGGTAGCCTTCAACATTCCTGGTCGTCAGTTTTCTAGGGCCTCCTTCGCCTCACAAATCTCTCTCCTACGTTGGACTCAATTCTCTCGCTCACCGAAATCTCAGAATTCATCGAGAAACGAGCTTCTAAAATATCTCACGTGAACTCAGTCTAGGACTTTACATGCCTCCTGAAGGAGCAACTGAAGCCGAAGTAAAGGCTGTCGAGCGGGTGAGTCTTCATCTTTTCCATTTATTAATTTCTACAGTTAAACCTAGCGTTTTCAGATACGGTCGCGTGTGGCCGACGTTCTTCATCCCCGCTATGACACCTATTTCAATATTCTGCGGTGGCTACAATCTTACGATTTCAACGAGCAAAAGACACTCCGCAACTTGCGAAGACATCTGAAATTTCGTAAAGAACGTCATATGGACGAGGACGCTCGTGATCTTCAGAGCTGTGCCGTTAGCACTCTTCTTCATTGCAATTTCCCGGGAATATGCTTTTGATTGCTGATACTTTTAGATGTCCGCTGAATATGCCCCAATTTCGATCATTGGACCTAACCGGAAAAACGGAGACCGACTGATCGTCATTGACCAGGGCGGTGAGTTTCCCTTTCAGCGTGTAGAAACAGTTACTTCAAATAAGCTGTTTATATACGGGCTTTACTTCTGTTATCATACTGTAGGGTCCGTTGCCACATCTGTCATGAGCACAGGTGGAGCCAGGGGGTTAGATAAAAATGGTACGATCACACCTCCGTTAATTATGCCTCGCTTATGCCTCGCCCCTAGGTGCGAGACATCATTAACGAGGTGCGAAGCGACCTCATTAAGCAGGGGGAAATCGTGCTCGAGTGCGAAGTGACCTCATTCAATGAGAGATCATTGAGTTATCGAAATCGGAATAAATCGAGTGAAAACTAAACTATCAGGAAATTAAAAAATTTCTGATTCCCGTTCTTATGTGTATGAAACCTTTCCAGGGTTCCCTCAGACATCGTGCCCCACTCCTTTGTATGTAACACCGCCACCCAATTTTTCCCCGGCACCAGCACCTTCGTACGACGTAGGGCTTGCACCACCACATAGTTTCCCCCCGCGCCGGCACCTTTCTACTACGTCGCTCGGGATCCAACATACACCGTTATCCCTGTACCAGAAACTTCTTACTACGTGGAGCCCTTCTCTCCATACACTTTTTCCACCTCCCGGGCAACTTCCTCTTCAGCAACACCCACGCTAAGACAGTGCGAGAGGTGTACATGGCGAGGAAAGAGAAAATATCTGAGGAAATGGCAAAGTAGGACACCTTTCAGATCCCTTTCTTCATTGCACCTCTCAAAGACACTGTACTTATTTTCAGATTCAACGAACTTTATCAGCAGGGAGTATCTAGTGCCCAAATAGAGTGCTACTGCATAAAAATGTCTCAATTCGTCAAACAAAACTGTATAATACATTTGTTAATTATTGATAATAATTTGTACACTTGTTCTTGTTTAAGTAATAATAATAATAATAATAATAATAATAATAATAATAATAATAATAATAATAATAAATATATGAAATATATGGCAATCTTTTTACCCACTTTACCGAAATCTTGCAATGGATTTATTCCGATTTGGATAGCTTAATAGCTTTTCCTTGAAGTGAGGTCAGCTGCAGTTGAGCACGACGTGCCTCGGCTAATGAGGTCGCTTCGCACCTCGCTAATCGGCTTAATGAGGTTTCTTTCGCACCTCGCTAATTAATGCCTCGAATCCAGGTGCGAGAAGTCGTTAACGAGGTGCGATCGTACCATTCTTATCCTACCCAGCCAGGGCAGGGAACTAGATCCGATTTGCTCAAAGGCAGTGAGCACGATGGCATCGGCGGGCGGTTATTTTCATCCTCATTGATGGGAAGGTTGGGTGGGGTGTGGTCGCAGCTCTTCCACCAATGACGCTGGCAACCATCGCCCGCCTCCAGCAATTGTGCCCACTACCTTCAAGACAATCACACCTATAAGTCTTTAGAATGGAGCTCCTCTCCGTTGTCTCAGGGTTCTGAGTAAAAGGCGCGAAACCAAATGCCCATACGTTATTGGCTCAGGCGAATCTTTCTTCCTGAGGTAGCAAACTCGGAACCTCGGAATCCATCTAACAGCCTCGTAAAACAGAAAGCGAGTGAGAAACTTACAACTTTGTCAGAGTGCTGATGTGGTCCCTTAACTCAACACAACCCTCTGAAAGCGGGAGTAACGAAGGACGCATGCTCACCTTCACTGATGAACTCGCGTCTGGGGGGCTCCAAGTGAGAGATCTTCCTGTTCTCCTTTCTGCATTTTGTAGGTACTTCATAGAAAAATGAATGAGTTAAAGTTTGGTTGTTTGAAGACACTGTTGAGAACCACGGTTATACGATGCTTAAAGGCAATTCCCGCGACCACACTTCATAGGTAATACAGTTCAAAAATAGAATTGCCCTGTGATTGTTGACTTATTGAAGAGAAGGAACCACGAAAAAGCGCCCGCAATAAGACCCTCTTTATTTCAATTGATCATGATCACCGGACGAGCGTAAGGTGGTCTATGAAATCTATGATGATCTATGAAAAGTAAATTATTGTGCAGGAAGGGTATTGTGGTCCGGAATTGACAACCCTATGCCAGGTTCCAGGCTCAACGGAACGACCATCTCTGAATGCTCTAGCTATGTGTACC